TTTTGCCGCTACCCGTCCCGGACAGTTGCTGGCACACCGTCACGGTCGACTGGATCTCTGGACTTCCGGTCTCGAAGGGCTACGACGCCATCATGACGTGTACATGCAAGCTCAGCAAGCGTTCCAAATACTGCGCGACGCACACGACGACGGATGCCGCCAAGGCCGCCAAAGAGTTTTTTGACACGGTGGTTCGCCACCACGGTTTGCCCGAGGTCATTGTCTCGGACAGAGACCCGCGCTTCCGCAGCGAGTTTTGGAACGAGCTCATCAAGCACATGGGCATCAAGCACTTCAAGACCACTGCACACCGCGCCCAAGCCGACGGCCAGAGCGAGATTGCCAACCGCACGCTCGAAGACTCGCTCCGGTGCATGTGCTCCTACCTCGGCGATGATTGGTCGGATCATCTTGGCACGATCGAGTATGCTCACTGTGGCCTGGTCAACGGGTCCCACAACCTCACGCCATTTGAAGTTGACACCGGGCGCAAGCTGCGCAACCCGCTGTGGACAGACACGAGCGGCATGAGCAACGAGTACGCCAAGAACTTTTCGCAACAACGCCAAGACAACATTGCGCTCGCCCAAGCCAACCTGCGCCGTGCCCAAGAGCGTCAGAAGCGCTATTACGACAAAGGCCGCTCTTCGACGACGTTCAAGGTCGGTGACATGGTCATGCTCGCGACGCGCGATCTCCCGTTGAAACACGCCCAAGTCCTCAGCCGCGACGAGCGTCCGAAGCTCGTGCCGCGTTGGATTGGCGCGTTCAAGATCATCAGCAAGGTCAACGAGAACGCCTACAAGCTCGAGTTGCCCGCCAGTATGCGTTCGCTCGACACCAACACGTTCAACGTTGACCGCCTCAAGCATGCTCCACCGCACCAAGCCCAGTACGACGGTCGCCCGCTGCCCAAAGCGACGCCCATTGTCTTCGACGACGAGACCGGAGAAGAGCTCCACGTCATCGAAGCGTTCCTCAAGAAGCGCACGTTCAACCGCAAGCCCGAGCTCCTCGTCAAGTGGCAGGGCCTGCCGGAACACGAGGCCACGTGGGAATTGGTCAAGGACGTCAAGCACGTTGTGCACTTCCAGCGCTTGATCAAGGAGCTTGACGAACGTCGTCGTCGCCGCACGGATGATGTCGACGAGCTTCCTGCCCAGTAGCCGGACGTCTAGGGGAGTATGTGGCGAATCTCGAGATTCAGAGGTCCGTCTCTGGTCTACGTGTCGCTGTGCACACGTGGATCTACTCCGTAAGGACCGCACGAGGATTAGGGTTAGATCTGTGTCTGAGTTAGTAGCTAGTGCGCGTGTCTAGCAACAAGTCTAAGCTCAGGCTAACCAAGTCATTGTTCAATCACCTCTTCTTCTCTCAAGCCAGCCAGCGACAGCGGACGCGCCGTCACAAGGTGGAGCGACGACCATATTTGCTTTGGATGAGTGACAACAAAGTCACGACCAGTCTGCAGACGATTGCACGTGATATTGCGAGCGTCCACCGCTGCTTGAGCAAGCCTACTAATGTCTACTGATGAGATGGATGACCCACCATACAACACTGCGATGTTTGAGTTTCGGCAGAACTGGTTTGGCTCGTTCATTGACCATACATGCATGTCATTGTTGCGATTTTAAGCGCCACTTGTTTAATAAAGTGCGGGCAACGCGTCATCGAGCAGTGTTTGCAGCGTCGTGACGAGGTATGCGGCTGTCGGGCGATTGAGCGGGTCAGCGTCCACGCAACGACCGACGAGGTTTCGGTACCACACTTGACAGTCGTCGCGCAGCGTGGGGCGCAAGCCGCCATCGACAACCGCGGTCGTGAGCGCAACTTCGTCGTCGAAATCGTAGTCGTCAAACGGCAGCTGGTACGTGTCGAGCTCCGTCATGAGAATGCCAAACGCATAAATGTCCGAGGCAAACGACGGCGGCGAGTCGCCGGCGAGTACCTCGGGGGCCGTCCACGCCAGCAGCGCTTCGTCAGTCACCGACGTCCCGGGGACACCGACTTGGACACCGTTGATGCTGCTCATAAACACGTTGTGGCTCGAGACGT